TGATTATAAGTCAATCGCCAACCAAAACATATAAAGAGTTACCAAAGTTCCTTAAACGAATTCAAGGAGATAGTTGTGGACCTATACACCCACCTTGTGGATCATTATATTATTTTATGGTAATGATCGACACGTCAAGTAGATGGTCCCGCGTTTGTCTATTGTCCTCTCAAAATGTGGCATTTGCGATATTTTTATCTCAGATAATCAAACTAAGAGCTCACTTTCCTGATTATCCAATAAAGAGAGTTAGACTAGACAATGCTGGTGAATTTACTTCTCAAGCATTCAATGATTATTGTATGGTAACTAGAACTGATGTGGAACATCCTTTTGCTCATGTTCATACACAAAATGGTTTGGCTGAATCATTAATTAAACGTCTGCAACTGATTGCAAGACCATTGATCATGAGATCAAAACTTCTGACGTCTATGTGGGGGCATGATATTTTGCATGCAGAAGCACTGATTCGGGTGAGACCAAGTGCAAACCACAAATATTCTCCAATACAGCTAGCATTTGGACAAGAACCAAATACTTCTCATCTCAGAGTTTTTGGTTGCGATGTATATGTGCCAATTGCACGTTCTCAATGTACAAAGATGGGACCTCAAAGGAGGTTAGGGATATATGTTGATTATTATTCTCCATAAATTATATGATACCTAGAACCACAAGCTGGTGATGTATTTACTGCACATTTTTCTGATTGCCACTTTGATGAATAAATATTCTAAGTTCTAGGGTGAGAAAATAAACAAGTAGGAAATGAGTTAAAATGGTGTGTGCCATTTCTACTACACCTTGATCCTTCTAAAAACAGTCGGAATTAGAAGTCCTCTAAATTATGCATTTGCAAAGCATTGCAAATCAACTACCTGATGCATTTGCAGACACCAAAACGGTAACAAAATTACATATACCGGCTGCAAATACTCCTGCTCGTATAGAAATGTCACATGAGCGTGGAGAATATAAGAGAGTCAAAAACACACTTAAAGCGTGGTAGATCTGTTGGTTCTAAGGATAAAGATCCTAGAAAACGAAAGGAAATGGAAAAACAAAATCCATCCAATATATCAGAAAGGCTAGAGGAAATGAACCATGAAGTGGATGACAATGTTGAACATCATGATTTTGAAGAAAATCATGAGATTTCTATTAACTACATTTACAATAGAAAAATATGGAATCGAATTAATGTGAATAGTGTCTATAATATTTTCTCGTACTTTGTTTCAAAGAAAATAAATAAAGAAAATGATGATCCAGAACCAAAATATATCTCAGAATGTCAAAAGAGACACGACTGAATGAAATAGAAGGATGCAATACAACTCGAGCTTGTTTCGCTTTACAAACGTGAGGTATTTAGCTCTATTATAATCACACCTTAAGCTGTGAAACCAGTCGGGTATAAGTGGATTTTCGTTCGGAAACGAAATGAAAGAAACGAAGTAATGAGATACAAGGCTCGTCTTGTAGCTCAAGGTTTTTCTCAAAGACTTGGGATCGATTATGAAGAAACATATTCTCCTGTTATGGATGCAATCACTTTTCTATTTTGATGAGCCTTACAGCTAATCAAAATCTAGAAATGCGTCTAATGGATATTGTTACATCACATTTATGGATCATATATTTATCTGAGAATCCCGAAGGATTTAAGATGCCTGAACTATTAAGTTCTAAACCTAGAGAGTTATGTGGAATAAAATTGCAAAGATCATTATACTGTTTAAAGAAATCTAGACGCATGTGGTACAATCATCTTAGTGAACATTTAACTAAAGAAGGATATGTAAGCAGTCCTATATGCCCATGTGTTTTCATCAAGAAAACGTCACCTAGATTTTTTATTATTGATGTATATGTCGATGATCTAAATATTATCGGGACTAAAGAAGAAATACAAAAGGCATCTGATTATTTAAAAGGAGAATTTGAGATGAAAGATCTCAGACAGACAAAATATTGTCTTGGTCTACAAATTGAGCATTTATATAAGGGTATATTTGTAAACCAGTCTACATATACGAAAAGAGTGTTGAAACGATTCTACATGGACAAAGCAACTCCACTAAGTACTCCAATGGTTGTTAGATCACTAAATGTTGAAAATGACCATTTTCGACCACATGAAGAAAATAAAGAGATACTTGACTCTGAAGTACCATATCTAAGTGTAATAGGAGCACTTATGTATCTTGCAAATTGTACTCGGCTAGATATATCATTTTCAGTTAATCTTTTGTCAAAATTCAGTGCTTCTCATACGCAAAGACATTGGAATGAGATCAAATACGTCTTTTGCTATCTTCAAGAAACAACTGATTTAGGATTATTTTATCATAACAACTCAAACGAAAAAAATGGTTAGTTTTGCTGATTCAAGATATTTATTTGACCCCCATAAAGCTAGATCACAAACTGGGTACATATTCGCATTTGGAAGAACTGTTATATCATGGCTCTCCCAGAAACAAATACTTGTAGCCACTTCCTCGAACCATGCTGAAATAATTGCTCTCCACGAAGAAAATAGAGAATGTGTTTGGCTCAGATCAATAAGTCAACACATCCTTTCAAGTAGTGGGATCAACATCAACTCAAAACCGACCATCTTATATGAAGAAAATGCAGCATGTGTCGTTCAAAGAAATGAATGATACATCAAAAGGGACAGAACCAAACATATTCCCCAAAATTCTTCTCATATACCTAAGAACTCGAAAAGAATAAAAAAAATTGAAGTGAAGTATGTTCGGTCTTGTGATAATGCTGCAGACTTCTTTACGAAATCACTACCCACTACGACATTCAGAAAACATGTTTACAACATTGGAATGCGTCATCGACAAGACCTATAACAATTGTCTATTCGAGTGGGATCAACGTCAACTCAAAACCGACCATCTTATATGAAGGCAATGCAGCATGTGTCGTTCAAACAAATGAATGATACATCAAAAGGTACAGAACCAAACATATTCCCCAAAATTCTTCTTATATACCCAAGTACTCGAAAAGAATAAAAAAATTGAAGTGAAGTATGTTCGGTCTTGTGATAATGCTGCAGACTTCTTTACGAATTCACTACCCACTACGACATTCAGAAAACATGTTTACAACACTGGAATACGTCATCAACAAGACCTATAACAATTGTCTATTCGAGGAGGAGTTTCCGAGCTGTACTCTTTTTGCCTTACTATGGTTTTTTTCCCACATGGTTTAAAAAAAAAAGATTTTTAATGAGGCAACAGAAGTTTCAATACAAAGACACTAATGATATTGATCTTTAAGGAGGAGTGTTACAATAGTCAAGATTTTTCTTGTATAATTCAAAATGGAATCTAGCATCATTTAATTTTCATAATATCTTTTGTCTAATTTTTCTCTATATAAACCATGTACTTCGATCATTTATGATGTTTTTTTTCTAAACGATAGTAATATAATTTTATCTCTTTTGGTATTTTTTTTTATATACGTAATTTTGTTACGAATGCAATATAAACTGATAAATATATATACATATAAATATAACAAAACAACACTATAGTTATAACGCAACCAACATTTTGTTATGGGAAAGTTATAAGGTTCGTATAGTGTTAAACTATTTACAATAAAAAGTTTATTTAACTACAGTTCTTATGTGGAAAGTAAAACTACCATGTATTTTTTGGATCTACCCAACTTCCTTTTCAATTGTTAATTTTTCAAACCCTTCATATTATTATCGCTTGTCTCTCAATATTTTCACTATTTTTTTCTTAATCTGTTTTTTTCTATTGCGCGATACTCTTAAGAAGAACCATATAAACTAATGGAACGTAACAGGATATAAAATAGTTATCAAATTTTCTTACAAAATCCGGTTTTGAAGAGTTTACATATTCTGCAATAAAACATATTCTGCACAGGTTGGTGAAGCTGGGATGGCCAATGAGGATATTACACAGGTTGTCAATGTGATAGCATCAGATGCTGACAAACTTCCTTGGCTACTTGAGAAGCTACCTTGAATGATTGATGAGGGTGATGTATTAGTTTTCGCTTCTAAAAAAGCCACGGTTGATGAGATCGAAGCTCAGCTGACTCTGAACAGTTTTAAAGTTGCTGCCCTTCACGGCGATAAGGACCAAGCATCACGATTGAAATTTTGCAGAAGTACAAATCTGGAATCTACCATGTGCTAGTTGCCACCGATGTTGTTTCCCGAGGTCTCGACATCAAATCGCTTAAGACTGTTGTTAACTACGACACTGCGAAGGACATGGACATGCATGTACATCGTATTGGTAGAACAGGTCGTGCTGGTGACAAAGATGGGGTTGCCTACACACTTGTTACGCAGAGAGGCTAGATTTGCTGGTGAATTGATTAACAGTCTGGTTGCTGCTGGTCAGAATGTTCCTCCAGAACTCATGGATCTCGCCATGAAGGTAATATTGACAGCTTCATTTCATTGACATCATTCTATTGATTTATGCAATAAATTTCCTTGCTTCTATCTCTCAGCTTGCTATGATTGCTCATCCTACTAGCTCCATTCCACCACTATAGTTTCTTTTTGAGTAAAACGAAAACATGATTGTTGAGTGAAATTTATATTTGTAAATCAATAGGATGGACGATTCAAATCCAAGCTTGACGGAAGAAAAGGAGGTAAGCATATTTTTAGCTATATTCAGTATTATATATTCTGCGGACAGCAACCTTTTATTAGATTTGGATTCAAAAGGGAGTGATCAATGTTTTTCTTTGCATATGCGTTTTTGTCAAGTGCATGAGCTGTAAATTTTTGTTACATAGGTGGGAAGAAAGGTGGAGGACGAAGTGGTGGACATAGAGGAGTACGAGGAGTTATTTTTTGGTCTTGGTATTGGATTTAACTCAGAATCAACTGGTACATCTTCTCAAGCTGTACCAAGTGAAGCGCTTCTGCCCCAAGTAGAAAGGGGGTGATCAGTTCTGTGAGAACTGGAGTAATGGCACAATTTAAGAATAGCTTTGTAGCTGCTACGCCGTCAAGCCAACAAAGCCAAGCTTATCCTAACAAGAGACCAGCCTTAACGGGATTTGTTTCAGGTGGGACCATTGGTGGCGACATGGGTAGAACTCAGACTCAAACTCCCCCGGTAGCAACTGATCAAAACTCTAGCCAAAAGAATCCACAAAGGTTTGCTTCCTTTTAGTTGTAAGGTTTGATTTGTTATTACTAGAGTTGGCTGATTTTATTTGATTCCTACTCGTGCAGTTCTGAAGATCGGCCAAGAAAGAGGAAAAGGAGATCTGGTTGGGATAATTGATTTCGAGTGTTTTTACAGAAATTACAGAAACATTAAAATAACTTTAAACTTTATGTTACCGCAAAGTTGCAAATGAGGTGATGAAAAGTATTCAAATTACAGAAACATTAAAATACATCAAGAATCACTGGGGAGTATTTTTTTTAATACAAGAAGTAAAGCTTATCACATGTCTTGAAGCAAAGTGACGGACAGGATCTCTATTGGTGCTTTTGGATATTGCTCATCTGTCTCAGCCTCCTGGATCTCCTGAACGACCTCTTGTCCCTTTACAACTCGACCAAAGACTGTCAATTTCTCGTTCAGATCTGTGATCTGAGAAGATACAATAAAAAACTCGAATCCGCCTTGCTCGTTTTTAGCTTTAGGAGTTCCCACCATGAATTCTTCTTGTTTTAAACTGCATCAACACAGAGATAGAAACCAAAAAGTCAAACCCTGTTTTCTCCATTTTTTTTATTTGCTGAACGGTTTAGTAGTAAGTAGCAACCTGGAATGAAGATTCGTCTTTTGGAGAGCCCAATCTTTGACAGCATCGAACTCAGCAGAGTGGCCAGCTTGAATCACAGAATGCTTTACAATTCTACTGAATAGGAAACCTTTGAAATACCCATCTTGACTGCGCACACCAATGAGAAAACACAACACAGATTATGTAAGAATCGCGTTAAATATGTTCTGGGACCTGTAAGAAGTTAAGCTTACGATAAGTTGATGAATTCGTCAACAACGTTGGGAGCAGCATCCTTGAACAGTTCAATGGTCACTGAACCTTTGTCCGTATCTAAGGTCTAGAGATCAAAAGGATACATTGAAGGAAACAAAAAGCAAAACACTTAAAAAAAGAAGAGAGCAGAACAACTAATGGGATAATATTTGTGGGACAAAACTCACAGCAAAGAATGGGACATTGGTATTCTTCATTGGTGAATCCTACACAAGACAATCATCAGTACACATGGGGTATTAACTATTGCCACAAACTGAGAGCAGTAGAAGGCATATACAGGGTCGTAGAGAATAGTACCTCAAGAAGTGATCTACCATTGTGCGTTGGGATCTCAGATCTACAAGTCATTTTCACATCTTAGATAAATGGTGTGGGACTAGAAAAAATTCTCAATGCAATGATAGAAACAATATCAAATTTGAAAGAACCTGAGGGTCCAACGTTTGTAGGCGGAAAAGAGGACGAAGACAACCAAAAGCACGGCCAAGGTGTAAATCACGATGTTGGTTATGCTTATAGGAGAAGGTCCTTTCTTCTTCTTGCTTTGCTGCAATAGCGCTTGAGGCTTGATCTTCGCCATTATCTTTTTTTTTAGATCCCACAACCTTGGACAACAACAAGACAAATCATGATCAATAGGAACAATCAGACAAAAGCATCAGATTCGAAAAGCAGTTAGCTTCTGCAGGTAATAATCTCTATGAGATCCATAAAATCTCCGATCTAGACAGGACCAAGAAACTTAACTCGAATAAACACTTACCTTCTCTTCTTCGTCAGTTGATAGAGAATTCAGAGTGAGTTGGTATTTTTTCTGCAGACAGAGTGGTTTCTTTCTTTGGTCTGCAAATCTATTTAGCTTTTAAAGGAAAGATGATTAACCCTCTCTTCCGTGTAGAGGCACCTGAATTGAAATGGTGTTTTTATTTATTTTGGTTTAGATCAGGTTCAGTTCAGTTATTGGTTTATTTACCACTATAAATTATTTGACCAAAAAAAGTTACCACTATAAACTCAATTTTTTATTAAGTTCAGTTCTCGATTCTTTCTTCTTTTTTTTTTGATCAGAAACTCGATATCTGGTGGAATTGTGTATTTTATATCGAATGGCCAAGAAAGCGTTTTATTTTTTTATAAGAACAAGAAGCTGTGGTGGACATCACTTCGGATTTTGGAGTGTCTTGTTGCTCAGAAACAATTGACCAAATGCGAGACTATAAGCTGCAGAGGTTTCTAACCAAAACATACATCCCTTGATGGCTCATCAAGAGTGGCCCCAATGATTTTCACAAGTCTCAAAGTTTATGCCACTTTCATCACACCTTTTCTATTGGATTCCAACAAATATTTACCTAATGTTCCAAGTCTTGAAGAAACAATTTCCTTTTACCTAAGCTCTACTCTTTTCTTAGCTTTTTCAATTTCCTTTCCAAAATACTTGTCTAGTGAGTTCTCCTGTATGGAAACAGGATAATGCAATTATGGATGATAAGATCTTGTGAGATGTAATATTAGCTTCCCTTTTAATAAAGAGCATCAAATGTTCAATTAATCACCTGGGACATTTTTATGGACACGTTGTTTCAACAGCCACTCTTGTTACCATATATACTGAAATGTTCTCCTCATCCTGGAAACACACACTGAGCACATGAAAGATTGGAATTTACTTTTCCTGTAAGAATATGCTTACTATTTAAAAAATTTGGACGTCCAGGTGTGTCACAGATTCAAGAAATGATGTCTAACCGCTGTGGATAAGGATTGTTGTTGGAATTTACTAGTCTGTTGCAATGGAGGAGACTGAACTTGCTGGGTGCTTTCCATTGCATCTTGGCTCTGATTGTTTAACGGAGGATATGCAATTTTTTGATCTTGTAGCCTTATTTGCTCGTCGAACCATCTCTCAAACGTGGAGTACTCCTCTGGTTTCTCCCACTGTGTGTTACATCCATATAATCAGTCTAACTAGACATTTGCTTCAGTAGAGTGCACAATGAAAGAGGTAAAAAACAAATACTACCGTGCTTTCACAAGTGACACAATGGAAATAATACTTGTCCCCATCAGGGCAAGTGTGTTCACTCCAGTCACACTCAGGGTTCACTGTATTCTGGTCTTCATGGATGGCATTTGAATGACTAGAATTCTTCTGACCATCGCCTATAGTCTCAGATTTGTAATGCTTCTCATGCAGCGGTACTGCTTGAGCATTTTGCTGCGGGAAGTGATTAGGCTGTGAAGCGAAATCAACGACTCTAGGGGCTGCAGGTTCTTTGTTTCCCCACTGTGGATATGGTTGTGGGTGCCAATTTTGCATTGCAGGTGAGGCGTTAAAGTTATAGCTGGAGACACAGAACAATTGAATATGTCGAGATGGAGTAATATATCAGCTATCAGGAATGTCTTATAGCTGCCGCAAAACTTTTAAAAGTGTTAAGAATAAAGTGTAAGAACCAAGAAGATGACTTTGCAATTCAAAAGAAAATTAGGCAAATCCTCAAATAAATAACGTTAGAATATGAAAAGCAAACAGTAGAACCTTGGTTCCCCTAGACGAGGTTTTTTAGGGTCTGCAAATCTAACAATCAGAGGCTGATCAGAACCCTGAAAGAAAGACAAAGAAAGTCATGAACAATGGACTACACCGAGGCACTGAGAAACAACAAAGAAGAATCTGACTAACCCGCATAGTAAATACTCCATTTAACCTTTTGATTGCTGCTAGTGCCATCTCCCTACTAGAAAACTGAACAAATGCAAACCCTGCAGAGAGCAAAGAAAGTAGTTAAAAGTTAGGTTTCATGCAAATCCAGAACATTACATTAAAACAGAGGCTTGAAGAAAAAACAAAACTAACAAGATATAAAGCGAGTTGCACACAGTTCCCTAGTTTATATTGATGATTTTCCTAAGTGTTTGAGGAACAGACATAACAGTTTACTAAGTGCAATTAGCTCCGGTTACTAGTAAGGGCTAGACAGGAAGATCCACATCACTGAGCTTCCTGAAAGGGCAATGGACATACCACGGGCCACGGCTAACCTTCATGTCATCGACTGCCATATAAATATCTTCAATGACTCCGAACCTACAAAACACCTGAAAAAGAGGACCCTTTGTTCACATCAAAATGAAGAAAAATTTAACCATTAACTTCCTCTTCACAGTTATACTTATGTCAATTGTCAGTGAAGAAAGACTTCAGATGAAGTGAAAATGAAAACAAAAAAGGACTCCAACCCTTTACCTCATGGATGTCCGTTTTTGTTGTTTGTTTGTTGAGGCATCTAACATATAGTTTATCTGGTAGCTGCACTGTTGAAACACCTAAACTCAAGAGATGGAAAGAGAAAATACACAAATGAGAAAAAAAAAGAGGGAGAACAAGAAGCAGTTGAAGGCATGGGAAATCAAATACTAAAACATGATTTTTGTTTCAAAAGTTCCCATTATAGTCTACCAATCATTTAGTCTTCATATACTATTACATTCCTAAGAGCATGGAAGAGAAATCATACCAACCCGTTCACGTTCTGCGTCGGCATATCTGACCTTGACTGGAAACATTTCCTAAAGTAGTGAAAAAAGTAAACCTTTGAAAAGGATCCCACATCAGTGAAGAAACGTTTTTTGAAGCTAAGACCCACCCCAGGGAAGGTAAACTGATCTGTCAAAGCAGCAATAGCGGCATTACCCTCTTCTAACTTTTTGTACTTAACAAAACAGTAAGCTGCAAAGAGGATGATATGACCAATCCAAATTGCTAATCTCAAGAAGAAAGACATTAAAAATAACATCCTCAAAAAGTCACCTGCTCGTTCACCGCTTATCTTATCCTTGGGTAGGATGATCTCGGTGACATGACCATGCTTCTCAAACACCTGACGGACCTGATATATATACATAAACACAGACTGTAAAACAGAATCTCAAGGAAAACATTTCAAAGACAAGAAACTCACATCGTCTTCCCTTGCTGTTTTTGGAACCGGCGCAACATATAACTTGGCAATACAACCATCAGCATCTTCATTAAAAAGAAAGTAAAATTTTACACCTTTTTGGTCTGATATGAAGAAAAGAATCAAACTTGGGGAGATGTTACCTGGGGTGGAGGATAGAGAGCGTCTCTTCCTTACGCTGCCGCAGGGACTAAACCCACTACTCAGTGGAAGCGGCGGAACGTCAACGATCATATTGTTATCAGAATGCGGCTGATTGAAACGCTGATCTCTGTTGTCGTTTTGCGGGTATTGGTAGAATCCAACGGCGGAGACATGGTGGTGCTGTGGATGAATCTGATGTTGATTGTGATAGTACGGAACTTGTGTTGGTGGTGGTGGAGCAGGGAAGGCGTTTGCGACGCGTCTTTCCATGCAAGAACCACTACTTTGACTCGATTAGTGTGATCGGCAAAATATCTCCGGCGACGGTTGAGAGAGCGAAAGTCGTAGGTTCAATATAGTCCGATTAAGTTAAATCAATGCACAGAAACGACATCGTTCGGTGTTATTAACTTCAACTTTCTTTAACCAATTCGTAAGAGCATATGCAACGGCAATCCTTAACGAATCCTCGGCAATCCTTAACGAATCCTATGGAAGTCCATGAACAGTTAAAATTATATCTTTAAAAACATTATTTAAGAATTGATTTTTGCACTATTCACGAGTTCCATTGCACACGTGGCGTATACGCGAATCGTCATTTTTTTTAAAGAAAAAATTCGAAATATCCTTATATAATCCGAAATGTCTTTTTTTTTTCTCTCTAAAGATTCCCCCTAAGGATTCGTTAAGGATTGCCGTTGCATATGCTCTAATAGGTATAGTTCATTATTTCAAATTAGATATAGACCATTTGATATTTAATTTTTGCGGACACATAAAAATGAAAATCTTTTTTTACATTATACCATCTTAAATATATTTTATTATTTTTATTGTAAAATAAATGAACTCTATAATAGAGTTAAAATATTCAACAATATAATTCTTTATAATAACAATTTCTAAATATAGAGTAAAAATAGAGGATTGCTATTTCTTCTCCTTTATAAATAGAGGAAACAATAGAAATCTCTATTATAGAGAAAGAAATAGAGGTGGGTTGGAGCAATTTCATCTTCAAATGTCATTATAGAGAATAAAATAACAATGAATTAGAGATGCTCTTAGTTCTTGAATTTTTCAGTATATATTGGTCTCAATTTTATTAATAATAATTTGTTTCTTATATAATTTTGATTGATCTTTCTATTTCAATAGTTATGGTGTTTTAAATAATATATTAAAATTTTTAATTATTTTTCAAAATAATAATAGTTGTAGTTAATTGAAACATATAGAACTATGAACTCTAAATATTATTTATCTTGTTTAAGCTAAATTAAAAACAACACAATTAAAAATATTAAAAGTACATGACACTAATCAATATGTATTATTGATAGTCAGCTAAATATCAAATATACTACTAAATAAAACATCAAATATGTTTACTTTAGCATATATGGTGTGACTATTGTCGTTATGTTTTAAACTTGAGGTGGTCTGGGAAACCAGACCGGAATAGAACAATCAATGTAATACAAAATCCTGTAAAATGACCTTGCTATCTTAGCTAACGAATCAGATGATACATTTCTAGCACGAGGAATATAAGCAATCAAAAACTCCATGAATCTATCCTTTAGCCGTGAAAACTCCCACAGCTCCGTGGAAAAATTTGGCCATGCTCCTGAATCTTGGATCATCGTGACTAAGTCCTTGTAGTCGGTTTCAAATGCCTTAGAGGTCGACGTCTGCAGCATGCTCTCCATTGCCCATAGTAGGGCTTCCAATTCCAAGTGTATCAATGTGCTTCTTCTGCTCTGGTTTTTTGCACCTAGAAGTTGGATTACTCCATTCGAATCTTTCCATGTCCACCCACAACCACTGAAGAGTGCGTATTGAGTCCATGATCCATCAATCATGCATCTCCCCGAATCATCCATAAGTTCATGAGGCTGTCCCTCCGTTATTACCCTTATAGGTTCCATGTTTACCTCAAACCAGGCATGGCATTCTGCTTCTGCATGTCTGACAGTTTCCAATGGGATCCTGTCTACTCCTTTGAACAATTTGTCATTTCGAACCTTCCAGATACACCATATGATCTACGGGTAAAGGTTCCTATCAAGCTATGGATCTTCAATATCATTTTTGCGCCAAAATAAATAATCTAGATCTGTGAGATGGTTCCCACTGGGAACATTGAAAGAGGTGTTGGTGTCGCCGCTAAAGCCCATATTTGTAATGCCGGTAGACATTCAAATAGCGCGTGATTGATCGTTTCATTTACAGCCCCACATCTAGGACAATGATTGTCACATCGCATATGACGGTGTACTAAGTTGCTTGTCACTGCTAGTTGTCTTGAGACTGATTGCCATATGAAGTGTCGGATTTTGGGTGGAGCTTTGATCTTCCAGGCAAAGGCTTGGAGTGTTGTTATACTTGGTTCTAGTACTGCTCTTATTTCTCTGTTGAGAATATTAGTTGCCACCCAGTATCCAGACTTAACAATGTATCTTCCACTTTTTGTATATGACCAGCCAAATATGTCTCTTTGATGTCCTTGACTTATGGCCAAAGATCGGATTAGTGGGATATCCTCTTGAGCAACATATCTCTCTAGCAATTCCAAGTTCCACTGCTTTGGGTTGCCACTAATGAAGTGAATCACTGACAGCATAGGATGAGCCACATGGGCTCTCAAACTAGCTGGACGAGCAGGTATCATTGGAATCCAAAGGTCTTCCCAGATCCTGATTATATTTCCTGAGTGAACTTTTTGTCTAAACCCCAATGTTATTAGTGGTTTTTCTGCCATATTACTCGTCCATCCGCATGAGGGATTATCAAATTTATGTACTCGCAAAGGCGAACTATATCTGAAATATTTTCTCCTCAACACTCTTGCTAACAAAGAATCAGGAAACTGAACCAATCTCCAAAGTTGTTTCCCTAGCAGTGCTAGATTGAATTCATGGATCATTTTGAAACCAATCCCACCTTCTTCCCTTGGTTTGCAAAGCTTCTCCCATATTGTCCAATGAATACCTCTTTTCGGCGGTTTTGAACTCCACCAGAATTGTACAAGTCTCTAGCGGAAGTAGAAGTGTCGACATAACATAGGTTGGCAGCGCCAACATGATATATTTTATTAAGACCTCCTTTCCTCCACGCGATAAATATCTTCATGTCCATCCGTTGACACAGTTTTGCCATTTTTCCTTTAGGAAAGCAAAAAGTATCCTTTTGGATCCACTTATGTCCTTTGGAATTCCAAGATAAGATCTCATCCCTCCTTCATTTGTTATCCCAGTTCAGGTTTTAATCGACATCCATTATCGGAACCGGTCATTTTTCCCAAAGAGTAAGGCTAATTTCTCAAAGTTAATGTGCTGTCCATAAGCTCTCTCATATGTCTTAATTACTTTCATAACTTCATCGCATTCACAGGGATCCACCTTACAGAAGAACAAGCTATCATCAGCAAAGAAAAGGTGTGATACCGGGGGGCTAGCGCGTGAAACACGCATCCCGTTATCCTTCCTTGAGACTCTACATGATAATAAGGCTAACAAGCTCTTCTTCCGTGCATAAGATAAAGATGAAAGGAGACAAAGGATCTCCTTGACGTAATCCCCTGTGGGGAATTATATTTCCTCTCGGTTGACCATTAAACAGAACATGGTACTTTACAGATGATACACATCGCATTATCCACTCAATCCATCAATCAGAAAAGCCCATCTTCTTCATAACAACACTTATGAATTCCCATTCCAAACGATCATATGCTTTGCTCATATTTGTCTTAATTGCCATTCTCCTGTTTTTCCCACCTGAATTTGTCTGCAAAGCATGTAACATTTCTTGTGCTATCAGTACATTATCAGTTATATGTCGTCCTGTAACAAATGCTGATTGTGTCTCAGATATTCTATCTGGCAGAAGTTTCTTTAATCTTTGGCATAGGACCTTAAATATAATTTTGTAGCTCACATTACAGAGACTAATAGGCCTGAACTGAGACTTTTCATTCGGATTTTCTTTCTTTGGGATGAAGCAAATATTTGCATCATTAAGGCCATCCACCATAATTTCGTCGAAAAAGGAATTCATTAACCATACATGTCAAATCTCCTTGACAATGTCCCAAATTTTTTAATAGAACAGAGCTGTTAGTCCAGCTGGTCCTGGTGCCTTTTATGGATGCATCGCGAACAGGACCAAATTTATCTCCCATTCTGAAACTTGAGCCGTAAGGCTGTCATTCAACTGATCAGTAATCGTTGTACTCACATTTGCTAATGCCTCATCAATGAGCTCAGGATTTGATGATTCAAATAACTCTCTGAAGTAACTAGTTGCGATGGCCACCAGTTTCTCCTCATCCCCACTAGATTCCCAACAGAATCTAGAAGACCTGTAATTTTATTTCTGGTTTGTCTTTGTCGGGTAATAGCCTGAAATAACTTTCTGTTCAAATCCCATTATGTGAGCCATAAAATTCTACTCTTTTGTTTCCAAAATCTTTCCTCAGCCTTAAGAGCCTCAGTAAGTTCTTTTAGAGCTTCCTTTATTTCCTCTGCTGTGGCATTATCATCCGAATAAAGATTGTCCACCTTCTCCTTAAGATCTTCGACTAACTTAGCCGCATTTATATCTTTTTTCTCTTTTCCATTTTCCCAATGCTCTGCGACAACATGATATGTGATTCATAATATTTGCATTAGGTGTCAGGTCTGGCGAGTTCCAGCCTTCCAGAATCACTTGACGAATTTCCACATTATCCAGCCAGCGTTTATCCAACTTGAAACACTTATTCTTTCTTGTTGGTTTGGATAATATCTCTGGAATTACCGGACGAGGATCTGATCCCCACATATGAAGATATTGAACTTTGGAGTGGGGAAATTTTTCATGCCAATCTTCATTTCCTAAAGTTCGATCAAGTCTGCACCGGACATTACCACGTTTTCTCTTACCAGACCATGATAAAAGGTTCCCAGTGCATGGGATTTCAAGCATGCCGCAGTCAGTAATCATTTGATTGAAAGAAAGAAAAGAGGTATCAGATCTCTATTTGCCTCCTTCTTTTTCATGATGTCCTATTATTTCATTAAAGTCTCCAATCATGAACCATGGTCCATCTCTTGTTGTTGCGAAACGCGTAAGACGTTCCCAAACTTGGTCTCGTCTGTTTTTAACAGGGTCCCCATAAACGAATGTCATGTAGACTTTTATTCCATTAATGATTGCTTGTACATCAATCATTCGATTATTCAAAAATAAAAAATCAATTTGAAATTCATCCATAAAAAATA